CAATACATGGCTTAGGCTTCTTTATTAATTTTGTTAAGTAAAACACTTGTGTCTGCCTAATAAATATGCATAAAGCATCGTTACTTGGGATGAGTGCCTTCTACTCTACATGTATCATCTCTGATCTACTCCAAACTTGTTTGAAATCATAGTCCTTTTGCTTTGTTCAGTTTTACTCAATTATATATTATTGCATAATTTACTCAGGTATAAAGAAAGGTTAGAGACAAAGTATATAAAGCCGAGAAAGCTTCGAGGTAATTCAGAAACACTTATAGGCTCAGCTTGGACATTTTTGGAGAAAGGAAGTGATGACTTCAGAGATGGGCTCCCCCCGGAAGCCAATTACAATTATATCAAAAAGGTGAGAGTTATATATGAATAGCTGACCTGATAAATGTGCCAGTATAAATGAACACTCAATAGTTATTTTAGTTTAAATTTTATTTTAGTACCTTTGCAGTAATAGTGACATCACCTGTCTTGTTCCAGAAAATACCCACAGTCCCTTCCCATATACAGTTTTTCATTTCAACTCCCTCACCCCTCTGGAAATTCCATTATCGACCAATCAGTGAATGTATCTCTCTTTTAGAAACATTTGTGTGGATGTCAATAAATATAATTCTGGGTATATTTAATTGTGACGCCGCGTAATTTGACCTTACTTTTGTTTTGTCACCATTTTAGACTGACACTGGTTTAGGACCAAACATTACCGGGTCTGATGAAACTATCAATGCTCCCACCAAGCGGAGAAGTAGGTTTACCAAGGATGAAGCTTGTTTTTCAAGGTGAGGGCAGACTGTTTATCACGATAGAAATAATGGAATTACTGCAGAATTTGCCTCTGGATCGCAAGGCCCACCATCATATATAGGCAGTGTTCAAACACGAACACACAGAAGGCGGGTGCTGCACCCATGTCTCATCCCAATCTCTTTTAGTCTGATATGTCTTGCCTCATAATCCCTACCTCTTTTCAAGAGAAAAAGTTTAATGTACTGCCAGCATTCTTTGGGTGGTCCGGAAAAGACTAGCACCCCATCTGGCAGGGGAAGTAGCAAAAAGTTGTATAATAGCCAACTGAAATAACAGTTAGAAAGAGAGTAGACTTGTATTTTTCTTTCACAGGTCGCTGCCTCTTCAACAACAGAGAAGAGGTCGTGTAGAAGACATAGAGTTCAACTTGACGCAGCATCCCTTGGCTCTTTTCCCTCACTTGGAGGAATCTCTTCCCCCTGATGTAAGTTTGTTCATGTTTACACCAGTGTTTTGCAGGTTTTCATTTACATGTACTTTTATAGTTTACTGAGGGGTTCTGTGTTAAAAACAAAACAAGATCATCTACCTGACAAAGCAAATAAATACAAAACTTCTGGTAATTTGATGGGGCCTTTACACTTGGACATGATGTTTATTTATTGATCCACTTGAGAATTCGTATGGACAGCTTGCCTTTGAAACTTATGTGGAAGTGTCTTCAACAGAAATAGAAAACAGGCACGGAGGGACCCTGGTGAAAATCTTTAAAGGATCTTCAAGAGTCCTTGAGGAACTTAGTGAGGATCTTAATCAAGTGCTAACTAGTGAAGAATCTTTATGTTCTTTAAGTTTCTTTTTGGATCTACAAAGATTTTATTCAATGATCTTGCCAAGGTCTTTGAAAATCTTGGAGAATCCTTGCAGAAATCTCTAGGGGAGGGCACTACATGTAAATGAAATGTTCCTTATGTACTATGTTACTTTTCATCCCTGATCATGATCAAGGTGTTTGAAGATGTTGTTGAGATTCTTGACCCAGAGATGAATATTGACAGCGAAATTGGAGAAGATGAGATGCAGGTAGAGGAAGTGAATTGCTATCTTCACAATAAAAGGAGGATTGTAATACAATGTCATGCAACTACATGTTAGTCATCACTGTGATAACGTCACTGTTACAATGTACAAGATCAACATTGGTATTATTAAGAACTGGTTCACGGGATAAATTTATGCAATTCAAGGGTTTTCATTGGCTTAGCCATCATGTTATACAATGTATGAGCCATTATACCATGCTCTACAAATACATGTACGGTTTGCATATGCATATTTTTTTGGTTTGTTTTTGTGTTATTTTATTTTAAATTAGTTATTCCACTGGCACTTGCTGGACAAGAGATGATTATAGCCAACTTGGTGCTACATGCCTTGTAGGCTATCTACCATCTCTTAACTGATGTGCGCCCATGAAATAATTAATCATCATGCATTCCAAGTTAAGGTTGTTTCTGCCTTGAAAGAAGCTTTTGAAGTCCAACACAAAACAGATAATATAATATCATTGTGTTTTAAATTATCTTTCAAAGTACCTTCAGTTGGAAAAATAGCAAATGTTAAATTAAATGGTTAGTTTTAATGTTTATCTTTACCAGGAAAGTGACCAGGAGGATACTGAGGGAGATAAACAAACTATTGCTCAAGATGAAGCTCAGGTAAAATATGCATTGTACTTCAATCTGTGATTGTTAAATTGTCAGTAAGTTTGGATTTTAAAAGAGATGTTTCAGTGACAGTATTTGGGTGATCTTCAACCTTTTTTACAACTGTGCCTTGTGTGACTGTCAGCAGCCATTTTCCACTTTTACTGTACTTGTGTCAATCTCATGACAGACCTCTGCACTTCCCTTTTTAGCCAATCAGAATAAATTTTTATATGTCACGTTTCACGCCTCTTTGCAGTCCGAGAAAAGTGGAGAATCAGGAAAACTAAGGTAAGGTATTGTTAGTAACGGTTTATCAGCAGAGATCCTGCTGTTGTGCTGTGCAAGCTGTGTTTGTTATCAATGATCAATTGGCCACTTCCAAGTTGCCTTTTGCCTCTGTGTCAAAATGAGTCTGTGGGAAACTATTGATATGGAAATGTGTTCTGCCTACATCTTATTTTCATGCAAATCAAACTCTTTTTCATATGAAAGGTTTTGCACAAAGACTCGTTTTGAAACAGAGGCACAAGGTAACTTGGAAATGACCTTTTCCATGACTACTCATGAGTTGTGTACTTGTATGTCAGATGTTGTGGAGATAAGGCACATACATATCTGCATGAAGACACCACAAGAATTTTGTCTGAACTGCTTCACATATGGTCTAATGGGCCACGCAGGTCGAATGCAGCATTAACCCGAGACGGTCTACTCTTACATTTTAAGCCATTATTGTACTGTGTTGCACGGTAATTCTTGCTACAGATCTTGGAATTACAATGTTTTTTTGTTTCGATATGTTAACAGCAATTCTGAATCTAAGGACCAGGCCAAACTCACATACAAATGGCTTCCTAAACAAGAAGAAGTGCAGAAAGAAGAAAGCAAGCGAGCCAGTCGCCGTAAGGCAGAGTCTCCAACATCGGTAAGGATTGACACCAAGCTGCAAAGCTTTATTTGTTAGCTTTGATTGCCTCTGTCAACCCACCATTTAGTGCACCATAATAAGATATGGCATCCTCTTGCCAATAAGGACCCCCACTGACATAGAATAGACTGATAAGGCAAGTTAATTAAAATGTTATCT